CTGTCTGGGTCCCTGCCTCTCCCTTCCGGCCTCCTCAGCTTTGTTCTGGGAAAATGGTGCCCTTTGGGTCTGCTAGCTGGCTGTGGTGCATACATTCCAGATGGGCATTATTCCTGCTATGTGGTCCCGAGGCTGCTTCTGGGAGAGGCTTTAGTTCCACATTAGAGGGGTCACGGAGGGTGAAATCCGGGGAGTTCTTCTAGTCTCTCTCAGACCAGTGAGTCTTGTCTTTTTTTTCCTCTGAATTTGGATTTTGTTCTGTATTTTTTCTCCCATGCCAACCAGGACTTTCTATCATGCCTCTGGCCAGAGTGGTCATTAGTGATTGCCGGGCCTCATCTGGTTCTTCTGGTCTCAGGCTACGGAAGGCTGTGGCTCATGTGGACCATTAGGAATGGCTGTCCCAGGCTAAGCATTGGGCTAACTGAAAAGTTGGTGGTTCAAACCCACCAGCTACAGCTTTGGCTAATTACTTCCTTGAATCTTTGTTTGTATATATATATATTTCCCTTTCACTCTCCTTTGCTCCGGGAAGGAAAAGACCAATAGTTAGCTCCTAGATGGCCACTTGTAAGCTTTGAGAAGACACAGTAACATCACTTTCAGGCTCTGCAGCTCCTGGGGAGCTGCTACGATTCGTAGGCTTTCCACAACATGGTCTTGGATGACTCCTCTCTTCTCTCTCACACTTTGGAAAGAAAGTTTGGTCAGAGCTGCCTGGAACTTGTCTCCCAAGACTGGACACACCTTGTAATGTTCTATCACTAATCCAGCCAGGAGGTGGCAGTATTTCGGAAGCTGACCACATAATTCATGAACACAGCTCCCCGGAGATAACATCTCAACCCCTCTTTGGGCTCCAAGAGGCTCGGAGACACTTGTCTTCCTGCCTGGGTATGTTCTCCAAGTCTAACCCAGCTCCCTTCAAGGCACAAGGCCAGGGGCGGGGAGCATCCAGCCCTCCACCTCTCTACGGCCTGGGAAATGGTCAACACCAGCTAACACCACACACCTCCCTAAGGAGAAGCAGTTCCAGGGATCACCTAATGGTTAGTTATTTCAATGTTTGACCAGGATGGCCTGAAAATGAGGTGATAAATACGTAAATGACCCTTCTCAGCAAAAAGATTCCCCACCCTTGCAAACAGTGAGGCTGGAGAAGCTGCTGCGAGACTGGGTGTTACTGAGGACCTGGCCCAGGAGAGATTTGAAATCTCAGGTAGAACCTTGAGTAGTTAAGTGAAGATAGTGGAAAACGTGCTGTTTTGGTGGGGGTTCTGGCAAGAATGGCTAGGTTTGGGGATCCATTCATGGAAGAACTCAGAAATTGAGTTTGGTCACAGATTCAGAAACATAACTGTTTCCACGCTAGAAACAGAAAAAAACAGCAGCCTTCAGAAATGGTGCTGGAGGCGATGGAAATACAGGGAGGCTGCTGTCATTTCCGTTAGACCTTTGCCCCGAGCTGGGAAGGCTGGAGTAAGCAGGGCACTGTCCGCTAACACCTTCCTCTCTGCTGCGGAGACCCAAGGGACTCTGTCCTTCCCGAGCTGCTCTCTGGTCCTACAGGCAAGAGAGTTTCCATCTCCAGATTCTCTCTCCAGGTTCCTCTAACTAGCTAACCCTGGGCTGTGCTCACAGGGAAAGGGAAGATGCTGACAGTAGAAAATAAACGTTTTCTTGGCCTTGCCTGGATGAGAAGTATTGAACAGGCAAGACATGTGACCATATCTAAGACTCTCCTAAGTTGCTTCCCCCTTCGGAGAAGAGAGAAGATGCTGAGGCTGGTATTTTGGGGGTCCATTCAATTCCTCCTTGATTCTAGTGTCAATTACATAATGACTATTAAGTAGTTCAGAAAGTCTCCCTCCAAGATCACGTGTGGAGTGGAGACCTAGGTCAGTAGGAGATCAATTCTGCTGGCCAGTGTCCCCTCGCGGGCAGCGGGGTGTCTGTGCACTGGAAAGAGGGTTGGTGCCCACATAGGGCAGAATAATTCTGCATTCTCTAGGACCCGCAGGAGGAGAAGCTGGTGACAATCTGGTGACAACAGGGGTCACTGTAGACACTATAGGACATACTTTGTCTTGTCTCCTGTTTAAAAGACAGCTTGGTAAAGTATAAATCAGGACGTTCTATTTTAGAGAGGCCCAAGAAGTCTAGTGAAACACACTTTGTGCAGCAAAACCCCAGTTTTCCAAGGGGCCATTTCTTTGCCTCCTAATGCTTTATCACCATGTTCTTAATCAAAAATTGAACACACAAAAAAACCCCAACCGAACCAACACAGTGAAAGACTCAGATGCTTGACAACATCTTTTAGTAGGTGAAGTTCTTTCCTTTGGCCCAAACCTGCCTTCCCCTTACCAGTCTAGCTCTCACCCTCCTCCCGAGCTCCTGAGTTCCCGGCCTGTCACCACGACCCCATTGGCAGCGATACATCTGGAGGCACTGCCATCAGCCTCAGCTTAGCAGCAGACCCCTCCTTGGAAAGCTGGGAAGCGGATTCTATTGTCTCCAAGCCTCTCCAGGGGTGGGGCCTGGTGCTTACAAAGAGTCTATTTTGATTGTAGTTGGACCGCTATGAAGCTAGGATATGCCAGGACTTCCCAGGACTCTCGATGACTTTATAAGGGTGGTTGGGGTATGTTAGGTGCCCGTGGGTTTCTTCTGACCGGAGCCTTCTTCTGAAAAGGCCCACTAGACATTGCCCAGGTAGATCCCCAGACAGGCTCCTTGAAACACCCCCCCCCAGAGCTTGTCTGTACCTCCAGAGAGGCAGGCACTCAGGGAGGGCCCTGAGTTTTACAAAGAAGCCAAGCCTTGCCATCTCTTAGCTCCTTTCTAAGGGCATCCGTGTGCCGGCTCACCATTCCTTTGAAAGTCGCCTTAGTGACTTGGGTTCTGATAAGGACAGTCCCCGTGGCCTGCGTCCACTTACTTGTAGAAGGCTTGGTTCTCAATCCCACATTTCCAGAGATGCTTGCAGGCTTCTGGAGTTGGAGCAAAATATGTGAGAATAATTTTCTTTTCCTACAAAAGATTTCACATAGGAACCGTTGAGTGTGGACAGAGAAATGATGGGTGAAGCAGACCAGGATGCTGTCCCCTGAACTGTGGAGGGCTTCCCAACAGATGGGGCAGGGGTTGCCCAGCAGCTGGCCAGTTGGAAGAGAAGGTCTGCAAAGCCCACTGGGCAGAGCTCAGCTCAGCAGTAAATTCCCGCCTGGGAAGTCCAACCAGAGTCGCTCTGAGTGGGAACAGACTGAACTGAGAGCCCTTGGTTCTCCCACTTGGGGGTTCACATGGAGTCAAAGCCTCTTACTCTGATTGCGATTCCTGGAGGCAGAGGCCTCTCAAATGGAACCTTTGGGTGTCACCAGCATCCCGGAGGAAGCCAGTCTGGAGTTTCAGGGCCCCGCCACCCCGCCACCCCTCACCTCCAAGTCTTGATCTTGGTCGTGATGCAGCATGCAGAGCTGAGCTCCACCCAAGTCGCCCAGGCTCACCCCGGCCCTCCGGAAGCGTCCCGTGCCCCCGCTCTCCCCGAGGAGAAGGAAGCCGTTACTCACCTCTTTCTGACTTACGTGTAAATAGAAAGTCTTCCCTTCAAATTTCAGCTTGGTCACCTCATTCCTAGAAGCACAAAGAGAGAGCGCCTGTCAGCTGGTGGTGAGTGGCCTGTCCACAGCTCAGTCCTGTAGATGCACAGCCCACCCGGACTGGAGGGGGCTCCAGGCACAGACACAACTTTAGCCAAAGTCAGGACTGAAACAAGACAGCTACGCAGTGGCCTTGGAGAGCAGTCGCTGGGGCAGTTCAAGCCCCCAGTGTCCTCCTCCACCGCAGTATAATAATGGGGGGGGGGGATGCGCAGGAGGATGGGAGTGGCATTGACAGTGGCTGCCAAAGGGAAACCCTACATGGGAAGTGAGTCTAGGTAGAGTGTCCACGGTCATTTCAGGGTTCATGACACAGGTGCATTATCTGGATGGGCCTGGCAAACGGAAAATGCCACAGGTAGCTAATGAGGCCAGAGTTCAAGGTACAGCAAAGAATGGAAAACAACGCAACCCGGTGCTGAGGGAGCTGCCTTTCAGGTGACGGTGCCACTGGATGGAAAATGCAACTGAATGCAGACAAATGTCAGACAGTCTTGGGGAGGGGGCGGGGCAACAGACCAAGAGAGAGAACAGATTACATGGAAGAGTCATGCAGCGTACTGACCGGGAAAGGGGCTTAGGGGGGTTTGTAGAAAAATCCTTGAAGCCACCAGCCCAGTGAATGGCTGCAGTAAAAGAGGCAAACAGGAGACTGGGGTGCGTCACCCGTGGGACAGACACAAATCAGAAGTCACATGGTTACTGGACACGGCCCGGCTTAGACCTCACCTGCACATACTGCTCTCGGCCTGGGTTACATTTGCGAAGTGGAAACATTTACCAGGGTCTCAGGCAGATCTCCGTGAGAGCCAGAAAACTAGGCCTCAGCACCGGCCATGCCTCACTCCCCCCCGACCCCCCTCTGCCCAACACAGCTGCCCTCTGAAGCCCCAAGGCCCTGTCCACCTCAGTGAGATGGGAGTCCTTGTTTTTCTACCCAACGGAGACCCTGTCCTGGCCCAGGGAGTCTGATCATGCATGTCTGCCTCTGTTTGGCTTCTTCCTCTTGGTAGTCTAGGGAGGTTTACTCAATTTCCTAGGAAGCAGCAGAAAGACAGGGAGAACCACGTGCCCAATTTACCGATGGACAAAACTCAGGGGCAAGCAGGACCTCGCTTGCTTTCTGTGGTCCCGGCGATCATACTGGGTCAGGAGGAGAGTTTACAATGTCTGACGACCAGTTCTGAGCTAATGTGCACCTCCTGGTCTGCCCTGCCCTGCCCGATTCCCTCTCAAGTAATCACATACACACACACACTCTCTCTCTCTCTCTCTCTCTCTCTCTCTCTCTCTCTCTCTCGCTCTCCCTCACACACACACCCAGGATACAAAGACACATCAATTGATTAATAGAGAGACAAGCACAGGTCATCTAGGCTTCAACCAGCAAGAGAGGAAAATAAGGGATTGGAGTTGTCCTGAGAGTAAGGTTAGGTCCACCTCCATGATCAAATGCTGAGCCACGGGGACAAGGAGACTTCCCAGCGAAGCAGTCCTCGGAGGGAAGCCACAGAAGGAGCAGGGTCTGGGAGGACCTGGTGCAAATCATAACTTAACAGGTATGTTAACAGGTGTGTCCTGGTTGTTTGCTGCTGAACATACCCCTGCCAGGGGCCTTTAAGAAGGTGGCCCCGGATTTGGCCCTCTATGATGCATCAAGGGCTCCATGTGTGTCCAGGCTGCAAGCATTACTCAGCAGGACAATGGTGGCCTGACCCCACACATGAGCTTTTCGTGGAAAGGATTTTGTTGGGCAGGAAAACCAACCCCTCACCATCTTTCTTCCGGGAGATCCATGAAGTGGGCCAACTTCAGAAAGCTTGGGAAATGGAGGTGTAGGGTATACACTGGTTGCTCCAGTGCACACGGTTGCTTGCGTGGGACCTGGTCCTGCCGGGTCTGAAGAGCCGCTTCACTAGTGCTTAGAGGTCGGTCGTCATCATGCTGTTCTTCCCCAGAGCAGTACGGGGTGGGAAGGTGCTGTCTGTCCACAGACTCAGCAGAGGAGGAAGGAGACCCTGTAGCTCTACGAGGAGCAGGAGCTCGCCAAGAGGTGATGCTGTTCTCAGGTCCCCCAATTCCCAATCAGAGCAGGCAAAGGAACCAAGACCTGGCGCAGGGCTCGCCACCAAGGCTTTCTTGGGCCCAGAGCAGTCACGGGAGCTGCTGGACAGCACGGACTGCGCAGCCCAAGGCCCAAGAAGGTACAGAAGTCACTGGACCTTGGGAGACTTTGCAAAATTTGAGGATGAAGTTGAAGGATGCGTGTGAGGGCCAGCAAAAGTCTCTAAGATAGGCCAACACCCATCAACAGATGAGAGTCTTTGCTGCCTCCTCGCTCTCAGGAGCCAGGCAGCAGGACAGACCCTCACAAGACAAAGGCCAAATAGGGGAAGGGTCGCTGCAGCCAGTGACGCCTGAATGGCAGAAGTAAGGGGGCAGGGCATCTGATCCCTAGAGCCCGAGGACCTTAATCCCTACCGAGGGATAAAGGAGGGAGATGGCAGCATCTCAGTTCTTGTAGAGAGAATGTTTGCAGTGGGCGACTTAGCTCTATGCCAAGAGTCATTGCATGTGGTGAGCCTGTACCTGGTTAGGAGCACAGAGATGCCCCAGAACAGCCAACTCAATAGGGCCGGCTATGCCCTCAGGGGTGATGGTCCTGAGACTCGGTTATTAGGGGGAGCTTAGCTTCCCCGGCATTGGATCCAGCCTCAGATCTCTTATCTTCCCTTGCAGGCAAGCCTCTATCAATCCCCCTCCTCTCTCAGGAACAGCCCTGGGCAAGAATAAGGGCCATCACCGAGAGAAAGGCCTGCCGTCCCTGGTCACCATGCTCAGTGCAGAACCCTAACTGCCCGATCCCACACAAAGTTCATGGGGACCGTGGCCCCTCCCCACTGGGGAAGGCCTAATGAGCCTATTTTGGAAACGGAGATACTCACCATTTAATGAAGTGGACCCTCTTATTTCCTTGCAGAACAACAAACCCGAAAGGAGTGAAGGCCAGGAATGCGGCGTTTCCTGACACGTCCTGCAACACAGAAAGACTCCTCCTCAGGGCGATGCAGGCCGAGGGGAGAGGAGGAGAAGCACTGGGGTGCAGTACTTGGCGGTAGGTCACAGAGTGGGGTGTCGGGACTACGGTGTGTGTAACTCCAGGCCAGTGACTCCCCCTTCCCAAGCCTCAGTGCCATTATGGCTACGTTGTAGATTATGATACCAACCTTAGACGGGTGGTCAGAAACGTTGGAATAGAATGGCAATTCTGCATCCTGGTTGCTGGTGGGATTACAAGCCACTTGGAAAAAAATCACCCGTGCCTTAAGCTGTCTGACATAGAGCTACTTGAGGACTCAGCAGTTCTCACCCTAGGGGGCCACCCATGGGGAACCAGAGTGTGCATCCACACAACACTGGCACATGACTCTTGGGAGCAGCATTGTCCTCATTGCCCAGGGCACAAAGAGCCCAGAGGTCTACCAGCTGATGATGGGGAAAAAAACCAAAAACGTAGAATAGCCACAGAGCCACACGGGGCAACATCATTTGGCAACTGAAATGGATGAAATATTGACGGATGGCCCAATGTGGATGAATCTCACAGCACTTTTGCACCAGTGATCAGATGGCATGCCTGACCCCATGCCTATGAATACCCAGACTGGCACATGGGCAGTGGCCAGAGGTAGATAGATCCGAGGCTGCCAGGGCCGGGGGTAAGTGGGACCCGGGGAGTGACTGCCACGTGCAGGTCTCTTTTTGGGGTGATGAAGATGTTCTAAAATTAGTTAAGGATGATTGCTACCCAACTCTGTAAATGCACTAATATCCATACGCTCCATGAGTGGGTGTGGCCATGACATAATCTATCAACTTGCGAAGGGGTGGAGTCTAGCTTATCAATCAGGTCATAGCCAATAAGGCCTCTGTGTAGGCGTGGTCTTCTCCTGAGGATTCTGGGAACTCCTATCTTCCTCCCTGGAGGTGGAACATACACTCTGCCTGTTAGACATTCCTGCTGACAAAGCCACATGGAGCTACACTGATGGGGCCAGAGGCCTGGAACTGGAGAAGCCACATGGAGACCCACACCAGCGCTGAGATGCTTCCACTGCCACTGGATCCACAAGACTTTCCATCCACTGGCCTGTGATCTTCCTGTGCTCAGTTTCATTGTATGTGTTGCATGAATCTGAAGAGGAATTTACAGACTGGTACCAGACATATGGGCTAATATCATACTTATGGACATGACCTGGACTGCTGGGATGTTTTCTTAAAATACAATTACTCTTTGATATAAAGTTCTCTATTACACACATATGAGTGTCTGTGAATTTGTTTCTCTAGTCAACTCGGACTAACACAGTGGGTGGGTTTATGGTATGTGAGTTATGTCTGAATAAGAGGTTATCTAACGAGAGAGAGAAAAGATGACATTTACTATTGCCTTGAAGGTCCTAGACCCCTAGGCTCCCTTACGCACGTTCAGTTGAAGAAACAGTCAGAAGCAACTGGTCCAGTGAACAGTGGTCACCAGCCCTGCAGTGCCCAAGAAGACCTCCTGGTCACCTGTCATGATTAGCTTATAAGCTCTAGGCTAAGCAAAGTGGGGGAGGAGGCGGAGGCCACTGTTCCCTCAGAGGGGAACGCGCTCCCTGAGGACCAGGCCTGGGCTGGGCAGAGAAGCTGGGTTGAGGGTTAGGCTCCCTGTGGCAGGCTCCCTTAGTGGCCTCTACCAGGCCCCACAGAAGATGACAGAGGAAGAGTGTGTTAAGGTGGCCAGATGATGCCAGGCCACTGGTCAAATGTCCTCCCAGGATAGTTGTCGGGGCCACCTCTCACCTGGCATGAGGCACTCAAGGGGGTCCCCTGGCTGTGGGCCCAGGCCAGCCTGGGCTTAGCTCTCCTGTTGTCAGAGTTTGCCTCCCATGCTGATCTTTAGCTTGACCAGGCCCAGGAGGAGCAGGGCCTCTTAAGCCTCGCCTGGAGGAAAGACACAGTTTGGCCTTGAGACTGTCTCTCAGAGTCAGGGCTCCCACTGTGCGTATCTGGGCCCAAGGAAAAGACTCAGTATACGTCTTGCAACATCTCGATGAATAGGTTTTTCTTATTGTTCTTTCCGTGGGTCTGTCAGGACCCAGACACTTGGCTGGAAGCCAATGTCATTCAACCCATAGGCATGGCACAAAGCTGTTTAAAAATAACCTGAATGGAGAGACTGCCAAGCCAGAGGGCTGGGTTTCCTCTCGCCTGTCATCGGTGCTTAGTGGTGGTTATTAATATCTGAGCACCAGGCACTGAACACAAATACTGTTCCTGCCAGGAAGCACAGGGCTGAGCTGGCAGACTTGGCTGAGTCAGGGGGAAGGCAGGGTGGTCTCGTGGGGGGACAGTAGGGAGTGAGGGCTCTGCTCTCCCTTAGATGGGGGGCAGGGGCACTTCTCGAGGCCTCTTGCTCCCTGTGCAGACAGTCAGTCCCAAGGAGGTGCGGCGCCTAGGCTCACAGAACCGAGACTCGAAGGTAGAGGCCTTATCACGAAGGTCTGGGACAGAGCGGACCAGCGGGGACCATTTATCAGATGAAAGCCTGACACAGGGAGGTGGGTCTGGGGACCAGTGAGTCAGCAGTGTGGGGAGAATACATGTGATCAAGGAGGGGAGAAGGCCCAGGCGGCATGGGGGTGGGCACTGTGAGACGGAGGGAAGGAAGGACAGACATCAAGGGTCAGGTCTGCAGGAGGACTGTGGCCTTGAGGGAATGAGGAGAGAAGTGGGCAGGGGAAGCAGAGGGCAGGCCAGGAGGGCCGACTCAGGAACAAAGTGGACGGAGCAGCACGGCGCCTGCGCGATCGTCACAGTGGGATGGGCTCTGGGCTCAGACCATTCAGGTCTGGTGCTGGCTCTGACTTCCTTGTGTGTGCCACCTTGGCCGAGTCCCTTAATCCCTCTGCACTACGGACTGAGTCCTCATGGTGAAATTCGCGTGGAAAGAGCTTCTCTTGCATAGTTGTTGTGCCAACACATGCGGGTGTACATGTCCTCAAAACCTAGGAGGTACAGATGTTCTAGTACGTTGTCGCTTGCCTTGAAGTCAATCCCAACTCAGAGCAGCCCTGTCCAACCGCGGAGATCGCCCCAGTAGGGCCTCCTGGCTGGCATCTTGATGGGGGGTAGGATGCTTGGCGTTTTCTCGCCTGCAGAGCTGCTACTAAAGCAGCCGAGTTTGTTGAACTGAATACCAAAAACCCTGCAAAAACAAAAACAAAAAAACCCCTGCCACCGGACTGCTGTTTTTTTCTGCTGTTGATTTACATTTGACCAGTTAGAAAATGCAGGGCTGGCAAGCGGGGGCAGGAGAGGGGCAGGCACTCACTGCCATGGGAAGGGGGTTTGGGAGTCACGTGAAACGGAGTGAGCAGAAGGGGAGGGGTCAGAGGCAGCAGGGATGCAGTTAGGAGCCTTCCAGAAGAGCCCATCCCAGTGACAGGCCTTCCTCCTGCTGGAGCACAGGGACACAGCTGGCCCAGGGTGGCAGTGGTGTGCAGATTCCTCAGGAAGGCCACTGTTAGAGGGGCCACAGCCCACCCACCCCAGCCCAGGATGGCTGATTTGGAAGTGGGTGCAACCGGGGAGCCCTCGCTGTGTGGTGGTTACGGCTGGGCTGGGATCTGCATGGTCCAAAGTTCGAAACCCTGCAGCTCCTCGGGAGGAAGACTGGGCTTTTTGCTCCCATCAACAGCCCCGGTCCCGGGAACTCGCTATGAGTCAGCATTTGTGGGATAGCCTCAGCAAAGCCACTTTGTATTTAAAAGTCATACAAGAGGGGGTGGGGTGGGTGATAGCTCCCGGAAATGACTCAAATGCTTGGAATATCAAAACGTAGTAACAGTTGTTTAAGCACCAAGGGGCTAGAGGACGTGATGACCAGAAACGTACAGATAAGGTCCCCGGAATGTTCAGGGCATTGTGATCAGAAACTTACAGATAAAGTTCCCAAAAGGTTCAGCTAAAGGCTAACCGCCAGGTCTGCTTCTGTTCCTGCTTGCTTGCACAGCTGCAAAGCCCACTTGTTTACCCCACCCTATAAAAACCCAAGTCTGTGAGCGATCGGGACCACTCCCTCCCTCCTCAGAGAGCTGGTCCCTCTGCAGGTTCTTCTTCTCCTTTCTGTCCCCTGTCATAAACTGCTTTGCTTCTGACCAGGAACTGAGTTCTTGTCCGGTTCATGTCCAACACAGTGACTGATGGCAGGGAGGGTGAGCAAGACCCACATCAGAAACCATCGCAATTCTGTGGCTCGGCCACAAACGGAAAGGTTAGCAGTTCAGACCCACCGAGTGAGAAAGAAAAGACCTGGCCGTCTATAGCCAAGAAACCCAAGGGACCAGACCTCCTTTGTCATATGGGGTCACTTTGAGTCAGAATGGATTCGAGGATACCTCAAAACCACAACAAAGGACCCACATCCTCCCAATACGTGATCATAGGGCCTCGAACAACCTCACTCCCAGCTCGTGTCTGAAGTAAGCAGCTCTCTAATCTTTCCTGCTTCAAATGCCACAGACACGGATGCAGGAGGCTGCAAGGCTCCCCCAGGTAAGCGTCCAGAAGGGACGGGGCCAGCTGGACCATTCACTCCTTGCCTACAAGGCTCTGCACACTGTGACGAGCGGGACTTGGCTTGGTGAGAAATCTCACATCTGTACTGGCAGGAAAACACAGACGGGCAGCCACACTGACACGCTCTCTGGAATGTTCCCAGCTCCCTCTAACATGCCATTCTCATTGTGAGCCTGCCCTTGGGATTTGTGTGCAAATAACAAGCCTGTGACCAGAAGGGAAAGAAATGAGGACGAGGAACGAAGTGACCCAGACGCCAGTAACCGGTTCTCAGCTCTTCCTCCTGTAACAGGCTGCAGTCTGTCTTTTCTCCCGACCCAGTGAACTCAGCACCCGCGGGACAAAGGCTATGGGGCATCTGCGGGGTGGGCTAAAAACATGGGTCTCGACAGCGGAGATCACCATCCA